CCGCCCGGCGGCGCCCAGGCAGGCACCTGCCAGAGGAGGAGGAGGCGGAGGAGGAGGAGGAGGAGGAGGCGGAGGAGGAGGAGGAGGGGGAGGAGGAGGGAGGAGGAGGAGGAGGAGGAGGCGGAGGAGGAGGAGGAGGAGGAGGTAGGAGGAGGGAGGTGGAGGAGGAGGGAGGAGGGGAGGAGGCGGGGAGGAGGAGGGTGGTAGGAGGGGGAGGAGGGGAGGAGGAGGAGGTGGGGGAGGAGGCGGAGGAGGAGGGAGGAGGAGGGAGGCGGCAGGAAGGAGGACGGAGGAGGAGGAGGAGGAGGAACAGGAGGAGGAGGAGGAGGGCGCCCTCATGCGAGCTTCAGCGCCACCCGCCGCGCCTCCGGAGGAGGTCATCGCCAAGGCTACCAACGGCTGGGCCGACGGCATGAAGGCGGCCTCCACGCCAGCAGCCCTCTCGCACGGCTCTCCTGCATGCTAGTATCGTTAAATAACCGATCCCCATCCCCAGCCCCATCCCCATGCCGATCCCACCATCTCACTGCCCCCGTTGGGGATTTGCCCCTCGAAACCTGAAGAGAGCAGCCTACCTCTCCATCCAGGGGGGTAAATCGGCCAGTGGGGCCCAGGCCACGCCGCTGGGGATGGGTGTCGGATAAACGATGCTCAATCAGCCCTCTCGCACGGCTCTCCTACATGGTGGGCAGGTGGTGCAGTGGTACATCGAAATGGCGACTCAGCCGATTGGCCTCGCACGCACTCTCGGGCCGCTGCGGGGCTCCTTCCCCCCCCGAACTGCCGGCCAGCGTGGTTTTGAGTTTGTCAACGGTCACTCCGAGACGCTCATGTTCCCAGTTGAACGGAGGCGTTGTCGTGACCAACGTGCATCTGTTGCACGTTGCACTCCATCGCCTCATTGTTTGTTTGTCCGACCACGCCTCGAGAGCGAACACACGCTGAGTCTCTTAAGAGGGCCACCTTCAAGTCAGGTCTTGAACATGACATGTCAGAGGCTCCATTGATTGCGGGGGGATCTAGAGGGATATTTTGTTGAGGAGGAGAGGTGGGAGGAGGAGGGAGGAGGATGAGGAGGAGGAGGAGGAGGAGGAGGAGGGAGGAGGAGGAGGAGGGGGAGGAGGAGGAGGAGGAGGAGGAGGGGGAGGACGGGGGAACGGGAGGAGAAGGAGGAGGAGGGAAAGGAGGAGGAGGAGGGGGGCTTCTGAACGTTCTTCGAACCTGCCGTGGCCTCCTGACGCACCTGGCCAGCGTGCACCTCGAGAGCCCTCCCTCCAAGAGGAGAGCCCTGCTGCGCATGCGAGCCGAGGAGGAGAGAGCGGTCGGGCAAGTGGAGAGCCTGACGCACCTGGCCAGCGTGCACCTCGAGAGCCCTCCCTCCAAGAGGAGAGCCCTGCTGCGCATGCGAGCCGAGGAGGAGAGAGCGGTCGGGCAAGTGGAGAGCCGTGGCGCGCACCCAGAGCACTCGGCTGAAGTCGGGCGTGTCCCTCCACAGTAGGAAAAATTCAAGAACAGTCAAAACATTGTCTGGGGACGATTGTTTGAGCATTATTTCAACCATTTTTGAATATTTTTGGAGTATGTCTTAATCTGCCTGTAGGGTGACATGCCCGGCCTAACACTTGGCCTCTCCGCGGGTTTGATATCGAGGCGTTTTCAGGCGGCTTGCATATGCGCAGCGGCAACACTTGTGATACGGCAGGTCAGCGTCGCGTCGACCGGCGGCGACCCCGCTGCCAGCATTCAAGGTTGAGCGCCGCTGGCGACCCAGAATCGGTCGATGTTGAACGATCCTGCGTTTTGGACAAGGTCGATCGTTCAAGGTTGCAGGAGGCGGTGTCAGGAACTAACGCCGGGGTCGACACGACGCGAACTTGCCGTACAATGCTGCCTTCTTGGATGTTCTTGGACCGCGCCCCCCGCGACATCCTCGTGGTACGCGATTGTTTGTAAGGTAGGTTTCGAGCTCAATTCTGAGCCTGCGCAGCGCCGTGCGAGGTCCGCTTCCATGTCTCATTTCGTGTGCTAAGAGTTCCTCCCGTTGCACTCGGACGATGGACATGTTCTCGCGCCGGCCCGCGCTCTTGGATTGCGTACCCTCCCCCTCCTCCCTCCTCCCTGCCCTTGTGTGTGTGTGTGTGTGTTGTGCCTTCTCCTCCCTCCTCCCGCTGCTCCTCGCCCCTGGCGCTCCCGGCCTCCTCCTCATCTCTCCGCGCCCCTCCTCTCCCTCGTGTGGGTTGTGGTGCTCCCCCGGCCCCCCCTCCCCCGTCGGGAAGGGCCCGCCCGCCTCCCCTTGACAAGAGGGGCGGACAAGACTCGTCGACCTGCCCTGCGGCTGAGCCCCACGGAGGTGCCAAGAGGTGCGGGCCAACGCCGCCTTTGCATTCAGGCGGGCCTGTCCCTCTACAGGGGGAGGAATACCTAGAAATAGTGAAAAGATAGTCCGGTGACGATTTTTGTGTGAACATTTTTCGAGTAGTGTTTCTGACAGTGTTTGGCTTTTCGCCCACAATCCCCCTGCAGGGGGGACAGGCCCGGCCTGACCCTTGCAGCTGACCAGGCTGGGCTGCAGGTGGCCCGGGGCGCGCTGCTCGAGGGGCTGGAGTCCAAGGGCTCCCTCGAGGGCGCGAAGTTATTCGCGCTTCGCGCTTCGCGGTCCTCGTTCCTTCTCCCCCTCCTCCTCGTCCTCCTCTTCTCCCTTTGGGAGGGCGGCGCGAGAGCGCGAAGTTATTCGCGCTTCGCGCTTCGCGCAGCGCGAAGCGCGAAGTTGGGAGCCCTTGTCTGGAGTCTGGAGGCGGATCTGCTCGACTGCTGCGACGACGGCGTAGGCAAGACTGGAGCGCGCCACGGTGGGCGAGGGCGCCGGCTCGGCGCAGCGAGGCGCGAGGAAGGAGGCTAGGCCCTATTAAGTCGGGCCTGTCCCCCTATCGAGGGATCTTCGACGAAAAATGCACAATACCCCAAAATAGTCAAACAGTAGTCCAAAAATAGTCCGGGGACTATTTTTGGAGCATCTTTTTACCTTTTTGGGGTACTCTTGGGGGTATTCTTTGTTTTTCCCCACATCCTGAGTGGGGCTCTTGTTTTCCCAGAACACCCTCTCCTTCCCACCCACCTCCCGCTCCATCTTCCATACAGCACAATATTATTCCTACCACACACACACCATACCATACCATAGTTCCTACCACACATACCATACCATACCATACCATACCACACCATACGTACCATACCGTACCATACCATACCGTACCATACCATACCCGCCTGAGCGAGGAGGGTATCGGAATACCATACTATTTACATGGTTTCGTGCCCCTCCCACCCCTCCAGGGAGGCCCCGCCTGAGCGAGGAGGGTATCGGAATACCATACTATTTACATGGTTTAGTGCCCCTCCCACCCCTCCAGGGAGGCCCCGCCTGAGCGAGGAGGGTATCGGAATACCATACTATTTACATGGTTTCGTGCCCCTCCCACCCCTCCAGGGAGGCCCCGCCTGAGCGAGGAGGGTATCGGAATACCATACTATTTACATGGTTTCGTGCCCCTCCCACCCCTCCAGGGAGGCCCCGCCTGAGCGAGGAGGGTATCGGAATACCATACTATTTACATGGTTTCGTGCCCCTCCCACCCCTCCAGGAGGCCCCGCCTGAGCGAGGAGGGTATCGGAATACCATACTATTTACATGGTTTCGTGCCCCTCCCACCCCTCCAGGGAGGCCCCGCCTGAGCGAGGAGGGTATCGGCAACCATACTATTTACATGGTTTCGTGCCCCTCCCACCCCTCCAGGGAGGCCCCGCCTGAGCGAGGAGGGTATCGGAATACCATACTATTTACATGGTTTCGTGCCCCTCCCACCCCTCCAGGGAGGCCCCGCCTGAGCGAGGAGGGTATCGGAATACCATACTATTTACATGGTTTCGTGCCCCTCCCACCCCTCCAGGGAGGCCCCGCCTGAGCGAGGAGGGTATCGGAATACCATACTATTTACATGGTTTCGTGCCCCTCCCACCCCTCCAGGGAGGCCCCGCCTGAGCGAGGAGGGTATCGGAATACCATACTATTTACATGGTTTCGTGCCCCTCCCACCCCTCCAGGGAGGCCCCGCCTGAGCGAGGAGGGTATCGGAATACCATACTATTTACATGGTTTCGTGCCCCTCCCACCCCTCCAGGGAGGCCCCGCCTGAGCGAGGAGGGTATCGGAATACCATACTATTTACATGGTTTCGTGCCCCTCCCACCCTCCAGGGAGGCCCCGCCTGAGCGAGGAGGGTATCCGAAAACCATACTATTTACATGGTTTCGTGCCCCTCCCACCCCTCCAGGGAGGCCCCGCCTGAGCGAGGAGGGTATCCGAAAACCATACTATTTACATGGTTTCGTGCCCCTCCCACCCCTCCAGGGAGGCCCAGCCTGAGCGAGGAGGGTATCGGAAAACCATACTATTTACATGGTTTCGTGCCCCTCCCACCCCTCCAGAGAGGCCCCGCCTGAGCGAGGAGGGCATCAAGAAAATGGGTCCCACGAAACCGTTAATCTCTTTATGTGGGGAACTCCATTAGCATAATTCGTAGAAAATCCCCTTGTGGGGGGACACGCACGACATAAGGCCGTGCGGCGGGAGTATGGCCGCAGGGCGACGGCCTGGGCCAGGTGGGAGGCGGCGGGTGCAGGTCGGCCTTCGCGGACGGAGCGGGGCCTGCCCATGCCGTCGCCGGGTCCCCGCCGGGCAGGAGGTCCTCCCGTGCTGCCCGCAGAGGCGGCGACGCGCTCGTCAGCCGCGAGCTCCTGCCCGCGGAGGACACCTGCAGCCACCGCGGCCTGCGAGAGATGCCTTTCCCTGACGATGCAGGCAGCTGGGGCCAACCACCACCCATCACGGCCGAGGAGCTCCGTGGGGCCGTCGGCAGTTTTGGCTGGAAGGCGAGGCTTGGGTCGTCTGGCCTGCCTCCCCGCGCCCTGCAGTCCCTCTCGGGCGGCCTGCGCTGCAGGCGACGGCGGACCTCTTCGTCGAGGGCGAGCAGCTGCCGTGCCGGCCGGGGCAGCGCCTGCGGATCGCCGTGGTCCGCCCGGCCAGGCCAGGGCGGAGGGGCTGGGCTTATTAGCAGGCTCGTGCCGGCAGCCCCGCCGGGACGGTCGGCCCGGCCTGGGGAGTCGGCCCCGGGCGGTCGCGTTCTGAGCCTGGCCGAGGTCCTTGCCCAAGGACCTTGGCCAGGTTCTGGCCTGGCCAAGGCCCTTGGCCCCCTCCTCTCTTTGGACGCCCGGAATGGGTACGGAAAGAATGGGTGCTGAACAGCAGTTCCTGTTCATCTTGAACAGGACTCGCTGTCGGTGTCGCCGCGGCCTGTGTACATTCGAGACAGGAGGCCGCCTGCCCAATAGCGGCCGCTGTTGGTTTGGGACAACATTTGTTGTTGGGCATTGTACCCATTCTCTCCGTACCCATTTCGGGCGTCCAAAGGCTCTCGGCGAGGCCTGCTCCTCCGGCGCAGGCCTCGCCGAGAGGGTGGGAGTCGGCGCGGGCGGCGCTGGGCCCGCGGAGGGCGTGCCAGATGGCGGGCCCACCGGGCGCAGGTGCGCGCGTGGCGCGGGCCTGTTTTTTTTTTGTTGTTGTTCCTTTGCCTGGGTGCGTGCTGTCACGTGGGATTCAGGAGGGGAAATTTCACACAGACGCAATGATTCGTCGATTCCCCAGGAAAAGATGGGAAACTATGGGAAGTGGGGGGGAAGACAAAAACCCAGAACATATGGGAAAATATGGGGAATGCTTTGATTTGTGTGTATTTATTCGTGTGTCCTGGGGCCTCTTTAGGGATGCATCACAGGGCCCTCGGCTGCCCGTCGACCGGGGCGGTGGCTCGGCGGGGCAGCGCGGCGGGGCGCGGTCAGGCGAGCTCCTCGCCTTTTTGTCCCGATCCTGCGGGCGCTCAAGAAGGCCCCGGCGCGATTGCCCCTCCCGGTGATGCGCGTGGGCCAGTCAGGAGGGGAAAAAACACACAGGCGCAATTAATCTGCGATCCCCAGAAAATATGGGAAACTATGGGAAGTGGGGGGGAAGACAGAAACCAAGAAAATATGGGAAAATATGTGGGATATTTTTATTTGTGTGTATTTATTTGTGTGTCCCAGTTCCCCTTCAGCCAGGTGGGCCGGTGTGACCGCGGGCCGGCGCGGGCCCTGCCCGCGGGGGCGCGGAGAGATCTGCGCGCGGCGCCGGGGAGCTTCAGCTGCAGCGGCTCAGCCTGGCGATGCAGGCCTGCCGAGCCAGGTGTCCCGGCAGCCTCGCGCGGGGTGGCCGGGGGCGCTTTCCTCCGATGCCAGACGCCGGGCTCTGCAGGGGAAGAGGCGGGCCCGCACAGCCAGTGCCACGGGCTGCGCGGGCGAGGGAGGCGGGTGCGGGCCCAGAAGGAGGCGGCGGCGGCGGTTCTCCTCCCCATTGGGGTCGTCCCAGCGGCATGGCAGGGCGCGGGGGTGCCGGGCCTGGCGGGCAGGCCACGGGCGCAGCTGCGTGCGAAGGTTGCCACCCCTGCGGGGGACGGTGCCAAGCCGTGGGAGAGCGGCAGTCATGATACTTCGGGGCCGCACGGGCTACGGCCCGATTTTTGGCGCCACGGTGCTTCTGCGGCCCCCCCCCCTTGCGAGGCCCACGGCCAGACCATCGCAGGCCAGGCCGCGTCGAGCAGTCGTCGACCTGTCGCCTGGACGTGGGCGCCGCCGAGGCTCTCCTGGCAGCGGCGGCGGCAGGAACGGCGTCCTCCTCCAGTGCGCTCCCGGGCGAGGGCGAGGAGGCGCGCTGCGCGCGTCGTGGCCTGGGCCAGAGCGGCCCGTGTGCTCCGAGGTACGGTAGGTTTGCGTCGTGTCGACCAGCGGCGACCCCAGCGCGGGCGTTCAAGGTTGAACGCCGCCGGCGACCCAGAATCGATCGATGTTGAACGATCGGACGTTGCGGCAGCGGCCGATCGTTCAAGGTTGAACGATCCCTGCGGTGTCAAAAACCAACGCTGGGGTCGGCACGACACGAACCTGCCGTAGGCCCACGGGGGCGCGATGGCGCGGAGACGACCTCGCGTCGCGCGCCGCCGGGGAGGGGTCGGCGCGCGACGCCAGGCTCGAGTCGGGCCTGTCCCTCCACAGGGGGAATGTTCAAGAAGAGTCAAAGAATAGTATGGGGACTATCTTTGGAGTAGTTTGCTTGACCATTTTGGAGCATTTCTGGAGCATCTTTCGGTTTTCGTCGACAATCCCCTTGTAGGGGGACGCGCCCGACTTCACGCCAGGCGGCCCCGCTTCTGCCGTGGACGGCGCCGGACGGGAGGGGCCCGCGGCATCTGCTGCGTGCCGCCTGCTCCGACCCCGCCGCCGGGCGCCCGTTGCTTGCTGGGCGGCGGGGGCGGCGGGCGCGGCGGGCGTCGTCGTCGTCGTCGCCGTCGTCGTCGTCGTCGTCGTGCTCGCTTCCCCTGCTTCCCTGCATCTTCTTATCTTCTCTTCCGTTCTCACTTTTTCGTTCTTCTCCTCCTCCTCCTCCTCCTCCTCCGTGCTCTCTTTCTTTTTCTCTCTCTCTTCTTCTTCCCTTTCCCTTCCTCTGTCTTTCTTCTCCCTTTTCCCCCCTGTCGCCCCACCCAGGTGGACCCCCTGCCGAGGCCCATGGCCTGCCCTTCGCAGGCGACGGCGACGACGGCGCCCCGTCGGCGGCGGCGGCGGCGGAAGGCACCGTGGACGAGCGACGGGCCCCGCTCCCGGACGGAATCGACGCTCGCTGGGTCCCTGGAGCAACTCCTCCCTTTTCCTCCTCCTCCTCCTCCTCCTCCTCCTTTTCCTCCTCCCCTTCCTCCTCCTCCTCCTCCCTTTCCTCCGCTTCCCCCCTCCTCCTCCTCCCTCCTCCTCCTTCCTCCTCCTCCTCCTCCTCCCTCCTCCCTCCCTCCTCCTCGTCCTCCTCCTCCTCCTCCTCCTCCTCCTCCTCCTCCTCCGGCCGGGAATCCATGGATCTGGCGCACGCGCGCCAAGTCCACTGAGTCCCAATCCATGTTGGCGTGCGCCCGACCTCCTGGGCCCAGGACGGGCCTCCCCGGCACCGGTGGGGTGCACCGGTGGCGTCTCCAGCACGCCACCGCTGCGGCTCCCTCGCAGGGGCCCAGCCCTGGAGGTCCGGACGCGTCCCTCTCTCGCGAGGCCGGGTTTCCCCCCCGAGTCGTAAGCCGGGCCTGTCCCCCTACAGGGGGAGTTTCGACGAAAAATAAAACATGCCCCAAGAATAGTCCAGAAATAATCCAAAAATAGTCTGCGGATTTTTTTTTTTTTTTTTTTGGGGGGGGGGGGGGTATGTGGGGTATTTTTAATTTTTCGTCGAAGATTCCCCTCTAGGGGGACACGCCCGACCTAAGCCGAGTCGTTTTTTTGTGCAGCACGGGCACCCGGTGAGGGCGCCCCCCTGAGGCACGTCCCGCCGAGGTGACCACGACGCGGGGAGGTCCCCCCCCTGAAGGATTTCTCCGAAGGGCTTAGGCGACCCGTCCTCCTCCCTCCTCCTCCTCCTCCCTCCTCCCTCCTCATCCTCCTCCTCCTCCTCCTCCTCCTCCTCCTCCTCCTCCTCCTCCTCCTTCATCTCCTCCTCCTCCTCCTTTTTCTCCTCTCCATCCTCCTCGACCGTCCTCCTCGGGTCGCCTATATACGGCCCTGGGGGAAACCGTGCAGTCCCCCTCCCCCCCTCCGAGGCTCAGGGCCTGACCTTCATAGGCAACAGGCCCAACTTCCGGGGCCTCGCCATGGTCTTCGCCGGCGATGGCGCCGCGAGCTCTGGCAGGCGATCGCGGCCCGCCGCCCCTCACTGGGGAAGGGCGGGGTCGAGGTCGAAGTCGTCGTCGTCGTCGTGCTGACTAGGCGCTTTCGAGGTTCGAGGCCGAAGATGTCGTCGTCGTCGACGACGTCGTCGTCGTCGAAGTCGTCGTCGTCGTGCTTACTAGGCGCTTTCGAGGTTCGAGGCCGAAGACGTCTTCGTCGTCGTCGTCGTCGTCGCCGTCGTTCTTGTCGTCGTCGTCGTCGTCGTCGTCGTCGTCGTCGTGTTTTCGGGGCGCCTTCGAGGTTCGAGGGTCGAGGCTGGAGGGTCGTGCTCGAGGTTCGGGAAGGTCGAGGCCGTTGGGCGCTAACGGCCCTTCCTGGGGCTTCCAGGGGCATCGAGAGAACCTCTGGAGGCCTCGGGAGATCTTGGGAGGCCCTCGTCGGTCGTCGTCGTCGTCGTCGTCGTCGTCGTCGTCGTCGTGTTGGGTCGTCGTCCAAGGGCGTTCAAGATTGCCTCAGAGCGTTCCGCGGCGTTCGATGCAGCCCCGATCCTGTCCCTGTCCTGGCGCTGTCCCTGCCCTGGCTTCGCTGTCGTCGCAAAGACGGCGTGCGATGCGGTGCCGCTGGCCCGCTCATTGCACCAAGGGCTCCCTCGAGGGCGCGAAGTTATTCGCGCTTCGCGGTCCTCGTTCCTTCTCCTCCTCCTCCTCGTCCTCCTCTTCTCCCCCTTGGGGGGCGGCGCGAGAGCGCGAAGTTATTCGCGCTTCGCGCTTCGCGCAGCGCGAAGCGCGAACTTAGGAGCCCTTGTTGCACGCTGTCCCCCACCTTGGGGATGGCGTGCGCCGACGAAGCCCTGGCAGGGGGATAGCGTACACCAACGAGGCCCCCTGCGAGCGCAGACGAGGCCCTCGCAGGGGGGATTGCCTCACAGAGTCAGCGTGCCTTTTGGAGATCGGTGCTGCGCGCGATCTCTGCAGCGCCCACCGTGCAGGTCGCCGCCACCCCGCTGGCACTGGAGCCCCGCCCCGCCGTGAGGGGGGGGGCTGGCCAGTGGGCTGGGCAGGAAGGGAGCGAGGGAGCCGGGGCGGAGAGGCACGATGGAGGAGGGACGAGGCCGATGAGTCCCGCGAGCGCCCTCGTAGAGTGCTCCCCCCCCCGCTCCGCCCCGCCGCTCCCCCGTGCTCCTGGCCCTTGGCAATGCTCGGACGTTCCTTTTGTTTTTGTTGTTGTCGTCGTCGTCGTTGTTGTTGCTGTTGTTGTAATTGTTGCTGCTGCTGCTGCTGCTGTTGTTGTTGTTGGTGTTGTTGTTGTTGAACATTATTAATTCTAAAGAATAATTGTTGTCGCTTCGCGAATCCCCACCAGCCCATCCAGAAACGATGCCCAGAGGAATTGCCTCGATCA